CGCCCCCCTCCCCATTGCTCAAATTTCTCAGAATCATTCTTAGTAAGCCAACCCTCTTTTCCTCACATTCCTGATAGCAAAACCTTCGTAGTAAAAGTCACCCCCTACCCTAACTTCTAAGGTTCGTTGATCCGCCTCTGTAAGTAGAATATTATGTGGCACACGTTCATAAAGACAGTTTTTTTGAAGGTTTTGGAGTAAAATTATTTGGTTTGATTCTGTCGACATGACAAGAAAATTCTAGGAGTCACGTGTTCAACCAACGGCGCTGCTTAGTACGTCTTGACGAGTGCAAGACTGGGTACAATGCGCACCTTCAAGTGTCACTGCAAGGGAAATTCCAGTCTCTTTATTCCAGCTAATCTGGTCCATTGTTACATACATTACTGGGAGTGTCCACTGATTTCCTAAGCTGTAAGATTGCAAGCGGTCTCACTTTTCCTTACGTTTCTTACAGACTCAGTAAAGACGAGTTTTTTAGAGAGATTATAGCGGAGAAGGCGGGGAGAGGGAGAGCAGTTCTAATTTTACATCCCATCCTGGGTAACCCAGGGGTAAAATTCTGCCACTCGTTTTTTGCTACGAGAAAAAATTTTCTGGTAGCGAGAAACAAACGATATAGTTTTACCCCTGGGTTCCCAAGGGATGCTCCTTTCGCGCCTACTGGGCTGTAATCTCTCTAAAAACTCGTCTTTACGGAGTCTGCAAGAAAAGTTATACTCGGAGTTTTTTGCGATTCCTTTTCAATAATTTTAAAGAACCTTTCAATGGTCAACACCTGTCGTCTCACGTTTGCCGTACACGAGCATCTTAAACTCTCTAATAATCTTTAAACTCCGCCTATTGGCTCCAATCTCTGCGAGTCCACAGGAATCCTAAAAACTCGTCTTTACTGAGTCTGTAGGGAAAAATGGCCCAACTACTTGCAATCAAAACATGGAAATATAGAGCTGCAAATTACGTACGACTGTACAGGAAAACTATCGACATGTTAAGGACGTCAAGTGCTACAGACGTGAATCCAGCAAGCTGCAAAGTGACTGCTTCAAAGGACGTCGCCAATACACCAGTTTTGTATTCCATGCATACCGCTGTTTTTGATGACCACACCCTCATTTGCACAGCAGTCTTGTCCCCAGGGTCAACTCGGCCGTTTCCAAATCATGGCGGCC